CACAACACCCCACCTTCCGTATACATCGTTGCCTCCAAGCATTGGCTCTTTAGTTTAACTGTGGCAATTATCTAGGCAATGGGTGATATGGATAGGTATTGTAGAGGAATATACGCAGCTGACCATATAGTAGTTGTCGCGAGTTTTCGTACACTGCGCGTCGTATATAATCAATAGTCGGAAATGTTAATGCAGATCTAGGTAAGCTAGGTATCCGATCTTCCTCTACCCTGTCAATAGGACAGCTTTGATAATCCAAATTGGATCTGATAACTAAAACATTACATTATCAGATGTTAGAAGTGAATACCTACCTACTTACTTACTTCCCTTCTATTGCATCGCCTAAATCATATTATATGTTACTGATTCCCTGAAGCTTGTCCTAAAACTATTACCAATATATTCCAACCTTTACAACCTGCCTAACATACTGAGCCGCATCGTCATTATTTCTATCAAGTTATGAGGTTGTCTCTTCCTAAACTACTGCCGCTTAACGTTATAGAGAAAGTGTATGCCGACACTTAGAAAGACCGAGGGATTGCCATTGCGATGCAGTTAGTCAAGCTCACTCAGCACTCAGGTTGAGGAACTCTGGGATTAAGTGGATGTTATTCAATATTAAACACAAACTGATTACTTCGTTGTTTAGAGTAATCAAAAGGTGGTATGAATCTTGGGAGGACACCTTACAAGAGCAGGATTACTTATTTAGAGAAGGTTGAAGCACCAAAACTTGCTACATCACTTATACCGCCGCCTCACCCCGGCAAGATAATCATCCCTCATGCTATTCGGCTTACCAAATGGCCGAATGCTGCAGTACGCATGCTTATAGGAAACTCCGCTCAATCACAACCGCTTATTTTTCTAGACCGAAGTCGCCGAGGCAAGGACGAAGCAACTACGCTTCTTAATCCGTTCCCTAGACAACTCCGTCGCCCACTTGCATAACGTATCCAACAAGCATGCTACCATTTCCAGCATAATGGTATGACCCTCTTGTCGGGGTCATGCAGTATCCAGCGTACTCTTGCGGCCTCAGTCTTTTCCAGCATGGTTCTGGGGAAGATGCCCAGACCCTGGGTGGCATCCCTAGCGATGCGGATCGCCTCGAAGAGTTCAGGGTCGATTTTGTCAAGCATAAGCTTCGCATCGTCTTTCTAGTATTGATGTTTGGCTACTTCCTGGGCCTTTTCAAGCCACTTCTTCAACGTTGTCCATGCTGTATTGTTTGATTGCTTCCCGTTGGGATTGCATTGGGCAAGGTATTTAGCTACCTTAATATAGTTAGTCCATGGTTTTGGTGCGATGTGACGCATAACAGATGCACAATATTGCCCAGAGTCGGGCAAATATTTGTCGAAGTATTTCTCATTGATTCCGAAGGCGTTTGGTCGGTAGGTTTCGCCGCATATCGAAATAACTACAAATTACAAAGCGCAAGTAAGCGCTTCTAAGTTCGCATTGCGAACCAAATTAGTGTCGTCCACGGACGACATTACCTCGTCGTCGATACCAGCATAAGCGCCGCTGGGAAGTTGGGCTGGTCGAATCCAATGTCGGTAAGTCTGGTGATATGGTCGCCAGGCTCGACGTTATCTACCACTGCCACGGCCTCGCCCACGATAATTTCTTCGACGTTCGTTGTCCTCGTCACGATCCTCGCGACAGCCGCGGTTCTAGGATAATCACGTCCGCCCCGCGGGTATCCGTTATAGTAGCCACGTCTTTGGTTCATGAAGTACGGGCCTCGTCCCACTACTCCCATGAAGTTAAGATAGCTACAATGTACGCCCATGTACCTACTATTTCATCACCCTCCACATAGCTCTCACATAAAACTTTCTCAGATCTATCACTAATAAAATCGTAGATCGATCAACCGCTTTTTAAACATAAAAAGAAACACCAATAAGAGTTTCGACGGCAGAAGCAAGACAGATCAAACACCTGACTAGTACTTCATTCCTGACACTCCAGATATGTCCGTCCGAATTATCGCTAGGCCCAAACAGATGGACTGCTGCTGGCTCACCTACATTGTATCTAACAATGTGAGCAGCAGTAGTCATCCATGAGGATAGATGTTGTCGGGATATTGGACACCATATCTTTTCCTTGTCATTTTTCGCCTTGGTGCTCAAGGCAGTAACGGTCTCGCAATATGGTCACTACTCTGACATCAAGACCTGAATAGTGAGTGGCACTCTTCCAGTGACTGTCTAGCCAGAAGGACAGGTGACTGATGAAGCGAGCAGAAATAGCTACCTAATCTATAGCACAGATGGGCAACGGCGGACTCGATCGCCCCCTCGCGAGTTCTCTGCTGAGTGAGAGTCAGCGAACTCGGCAGCAACCCTAATAAACCACCATACTAGATCGCCATAGGTGGCCGCGTCCACGACGATCCTTACAACACCGGGCTAAGTCAAGTTTGATGTTGAGAATGTCTGGAAGACAATAAACTGAGACTCGGGGAGATCCTGACAAGAAAGGATCGCACAAGCCGAGGTATCATTGTTAGAGCCATGGCGTAGACGAACCAGTGGAGGGTCGCTGGGTCTGGAATCGACGTGCAAGACACTAGAAGCTAACTTACGACATTCCCGGCTAGACCGAAGCGGACAAGATACGAACTGCTCAAGAGGCAAAATAAGACACTGTCGGTTTCGAGAGAGAGTTCGCCATTATAGTTCGACTTAATGGTTCCACCTTCCATGACAAGGAGAAGGGGGGAAGCCTACGAAACAGCACCCTTCCTAACTAACAATCCACATACCTCTCAAGATCGCCAACCTCTCCAACAACACCACAACTCCAGCATCTACACGCCCACATACAACCGCATCCCCTCCTAGCCTTACCACGGCGAATCGTTGGCAGCATATGTCCGCAGGGCTACGGACTTGTCCTATCGGGCTTCTGAGAATTAGCAAGTGAAGCTGCGCGACCGATTATACAAGTACATGTGCTCTGGAGGGAACACTAACGACAATAGCATTCAAGATCGAGCGATAGATCGTTTGTTTGCTCGAGGTTTGTTGGACGAATCGAACGATCTGACAGACGCATGCACGTTCCAGGATGTGCACATACAAAAAACTAAGCGAGGGTGTTTACCTGGGGGGCATTGGTGCCGACAGCATGAAGCCTGTTGGAGACAGACTTGTGGGTGGTAAATTGGCTGTTGGGAATGCTGAAGGACGGAGCGACCGCGTGGGAGACTCCGGGGTGCTTGGAGCGGCAAATTAGCTGTGGCTACTATTTGGACCATTACCTATGAAATTTGGGGCACATGCCGGAGCCCGAACACCACAAAGAGATTTACCTATTTTACCTACAGTACGGGCAATTGCCAACTTACTTCTCTCAAGCCTACAAACGCCTCATACCTCGGGCATTGTCCGAGACATGGACGTCTAGTATGTGTATGGACGTTGGCCGACCGGGCCTGGTGATTTGAGAGACGATCTGGTCGACGACCTGATCGAATAGAACCTTCATTATTCTATCACTCCTATCCCATCGCACGAAGCCTATATCATCCTATTGCAGAGCTCATACCATTCTACCACGCAAAGCTCATCCTACTGCAGAGCCCATATCATCCTGTTGCGAAATCTATAGAAAGTCTACGGAACAAGAGCCTCAGCAGATCCTACAGACCCTTAAGAGCCGGTTATCTCTTATAACAAGTATCGTATAAGCTTGTTTAAAATAACTCATAGTCATAGGATAATCAAGTGTTAAATTGCTAGGGAATGAGCTCGATCAACTGCAGCAGAAAGGGGGGGAGAGGGGGGAATTCTCCTCGTCGTAGCTTTGGCTGATGCTGGAACGCGACCACTCCGTTCCCCTTGCGGCTTGAAATTCCAAGGTCGCCTCTGCCAGCTGAGTGCTGTCCTAGTTACTGTCCCCGTCAGGGTGAACATATACATCTACCCGCCCACCAGAAAAAAACCCACGACGTCCTTGTCGTATTGATTATAATTATGTTTCGTCCCCAACAGCAAAGACAGAAGTCCTCCAACCATACAAGTACAATGACACGAGTCTACTTCTTTGAGGGAGTTCGGATCTCACGCTCTGATAGCCCTCACCAAGTGGTGGCAAACGGAGGTTGTAAGAAGCTTGATTTATTAATAGCTATAGCCGTTGGCCAACGAATATTTACACTAGCTAGATGGCGTAAAGCTAGTCACTAGCCACATGTGCTACCCACGTGTGGCTAGTAAACTACCGTATCTGCTGTCCTTTTCTACGGCCGTACGCGGCCACGCGCGATACATAGCTATTTCAGCAAGACTTCCAGAAATATGTCGGCGTCGTCAGTCTCACTCAGTCCCACCAGTCAAGGTCTGTCTTTTCATCCGATATGTGGACTCCTAACTTCGACAGTTTGGACGGGATATCTTCTGGTCGTCTGGGTCCCGCTTCCTTTCCGGAAGCAGTTGTCGAAAACATATTCGGAGTATTAGCGTCTGCTCCTGCTATCATATTCCAGGCTTGTTCGTCTGAGAGTTTGCTGTCAAAGGCTGTCATCATGTTTTCCGAGATATCGAATTCGCTAGAGAAATGGGCGTTTTCGCATTCGTTTGTTGCCACGGGCATTGAGGCTCTCGTGCAAGACACTGAGCAGTTTCCCTCCAGCTCAGGGTCGTGGATATTGCCGAGCCTCTCGTTTCGTCTAACTCGCTGCGGTTTGTCGGAGGCGGCCACGCGTAACACGCTCCTTCATCTTGTCCTGTACAAATTTGGACAGTTGTATTCCTGCAACTCGGGCTTGCGAAGTCTTCTTTCGAGGTCGCATTGGTGTCGTACCAGCGTCGCCGTCGTTGTCGTCATCGTCGTCACCCAGTCCCAAGGTGAGGCTCTTTCGTTTGTGGCCCTCGTGGCCACAAACACTTGAGACACGCGCGATGGGGCTTGTGCTAGAGACGATAGATAGGTAGGTGTTATATACTAGAATGGCCCGACGCACTTACAAACGGATGCCCAAAGTGGTGTAGTGGCAGCACGCTCATGCTACACGCGGTTATCTTAGGAAGCCGTGCCTTCAGGGGTGGGAAATTCAGGTTCAATTCTTGACTTTGGGATTTGTTTGAATATTTTTTCCTTTTTGTCTCCGTATATGTTTGCTTTCATAGAGAAAGCTTGTTCGTAAGGTGGTCGCATATTCTAACAAGCCCGAACGAAGCCTAAATCATGCAAGGCCACCTATTAGCTTACCTGGACTTGTCATCTTTCATAGATGGGTTGAATCTCTCCTAACTCTAGATTATACTTAGGAACAAGACTAAAAGAAACTTCTCGAAAGTTAAGTTGTTGTGTCTATCGGACAATTCCCTGGGTATATTTGACATTGCGAGTGAAACATGCCTCCATGATAGGTGTGAAGCAAAGAGTTCACTAAATCATTAGTTTTAAACATAGTCATGAGGTCTATGGGGTGAATTAGAATGTTAAACACCGCACTCTATAGATAGGATGCGTAAAGGGGCTTTCTCTGAAAATTTTGTTTGGCTTGCGAAATGCTTCAATCGACGGCATACAATCATGAACATAAATATTAAGAGCAGAAATACTAGAGCCGATACCCCCAAGACTATCCTGTATTTAGCTAATACTAAATTTAAGCAATGTTTAATTGATTGTATTCTGTTTAGTTGTTAGAGTAACCCGTTCAACTCCTATGCTATTTCTTTTCACAGGGGGGTTTAGCATGACCTATACTGGGGCTGCGAAAACTCGAGAATTAAGCAGGATAAACAGTTATTATAGCTAGACGCTATGTGTATCTAGATAGTTAGATGCACTCATTAATATTTACCTCCGCATCCCAGAGCCAGATCTTCGTCAAAGAGTTTGAGAATAGACATATTCGGAACCTACAACATGGAAATCTTCTCCCCGTTCTTGCTGCTGTGAATCACTTAGTACCTAATACTTATTCTTTCTTGTTTGCGCGACGTCCTATCGGACCATGGCGATAAATATCCATAACGTTTGATGTATTAAAGGTGGCGAAAATGAGAGCAATTGTATCATAAAGATACAGGACTCCTTCATTTGAACAAGCCGTTATCTGTATGCCAATACTGGAAACATGTTTCTGGGTAAAGACATATGCCCACGGAGCTGTACGTTAGTTAGGCATGCTATGGGGTTATACCTGGTGGAACTGACCGTGCTGCTACAAATGGAAGACTTCATCATAGTATGGGTTACGGAAGCGTTAAAATCTAGGCTATACATAGCCAGCGATGCTTGGGCCTGCTTGCTTATATGGTCCTCTAGGAGTTTGATGATGTGCGTTGGGCTGTCTACAATCTGAAATTAAAGCCAAGTTTGTAATAAATATGTCTTCGCTAAGGAAGCATTAAGACATTCTGGAATATATAAAAGTCTGGGTAAAGCACTCCATGAAATAGAGACCTACGTTCCCTGCTGCATTATTCTTTCTGAACACTTATACTCTAACATCCTAGAGCCTATAAAAAGGCATCCAGTTCTTAGTCAACCACTGAAAACCCTACTGAAAAGCAGAGTAGCACATATACACCAAGGGTCACAGATATTGCAACCAAGGAAAGCATAAGAGTAAATTTTTAGATCAACTTTCATTTGTCATCGAGGGTATTGTCCCTCGTCATATCCATTCTTCCTAGTCTACATGCATGTACGCCGAGAACCAGATGATTGGTTGCGTGAGATGTTAAGGGAGGCAAGGGGTGGTAAGGTGTGTGTATAAGTGTTCGGAAGAAAAGCGTGAATCATCCCATAAGACTTTTATCTTTACCTCATACTTTCCACGGCATAATGATATTATATCTTACGCCGTCGAAATGTGTCCATCATTCACACATGTGAACGCTTTGTGTAGACCCGCCTTTGCGCTGTCTAATCAGCGCCCATTTTATGTCCCAAGGATGAAAACCGGAAAAATCATTAACGCGCTTATCGTGAAGACATAGCCTTAGTCACCAGTCTCTTGAGAGCCAGCTCCTTCTTCTTGAGGTCATCAGCAGATGACTCCTCAACCTCGAGCTGGCTCATGGCCTCGCTGAGGGTCTCCTCAATCTTCTCCTTCTGACCACGCTTGAGCTTGAGGGATAGTGTCGGGTCGGAGATGATCTCCTCGACACGGCTGATGTATGATTCTAGTTGTTGCTTGGCCTCGAATCGCTTGCTGAAGGCCTCGTCACTGTTCTTGAACTTCTCGGCATCTATATTCTATATTAGCAGGTGGTACTTCCTATCATGTTCGTTCAAAAACGTACCGCTGATCATGTTCTCGATCTCGGTTGTCGAGAGCTTGCCAACAGAGTTGGCGATAGTAATGTTGGCGCTGCGGCCAGAGGTCTTCTCGGTGGCTGTGACCTTGAGAATACCGTTGACGTCGACTTCGAAGACGACCTCAAGGACTGCCTCGCCAGCCCGCATGGGAGGGATGGGGGCAAGGGTGAATTCACCCAGGGAGGTGTTGTCCTCGCAGTTCACACGTTCACCCTGGTAAACGGGGAACTGGACGGTCTGCTGGTTGTCAGCAACGGTGGTGAATGTCCTCTTCTTGATGGTAGGGACAGTCTGGCCACGAGTGACGACAGGGGCGAAGATGTTGCCCTCCATAGCGACACCAAGAGATAGAGGGACGACATCCAGGAGAAGGAGGTCAGAAGTGTCGGCGGAAGTGGCCTTGCCGGAAAGGATACCGGCCTGGACGGCGGCACCGTAGGCAACGGCCTCATCGGGGTTGATGCTCTTCTCGAGCTTCTTGCCGTCGAAGAAATCACTCAGTAGCTTCTGGATCTTAGGGATACGGGTTGAGCCACCGACAAGGACGATCTCGTCAACAGCGCTCTTCTCAACAGCGGCGTCCTTGAGGACCTGGGCAACGGGGTCCAGAGTGCCAGCGAAGGCCTTGGCGTTGAGATCCTCGAAACGGGCACGGGTGATCTGGAGGAAGAAGTCCTCGCCGTCAAAGAGCGAGTCAATCTCGATGGTGGTCTGAGCACCGTTGGATAGAGTTCGCTTGGCACGCTCGCAAGCGGTTCGCAGTCTGCGGAGGGCACGGGGATCACTGCTGATGTCCTTCTTGGTCTTGCGCTGGAATTCCTTCTTGCAGTGCTCGAGAAGGTTGGTATCGAAATCCTGACCACCAAGATGGGTGTCGCCGGCGGTAGCCTTGACGGTGAAGACACCGCCCTGGATATTTAGGAGGGACACATCGAAAGTACCACCACCCAGATCGTAGATCAGGACGTTGCGCTCCTTGTTGGACTTGTTTGAGCCGAGACCGTAGGCGATAGCAGCGGCAGTAGGCTCGTTGATGATACGGAGAACATTAAGGCCGGCAATGGCACCGGCATCCTTAGTGGCTTGACGCTGATTGTCGTTGAAGTAGGCCGGAACGGTGATAACGGCCTTCTCCACCTTCTTTCCGAGCTTGACCTCGGCAATCTCCTTCATCTACGCGGCGTCAGTTAGCACCAGCCTAGGCGGTCATGCATTTATATTGTTCAGTGTGGGACTGGCTTACCTTGGTGAGAACCATGGCAGAGATCTCCTGGGGGGAGAAAGTCTTGGTCTCGCCGAGGTATTCAACCTCGACAATAGGGTTGCCTGAGCTTCCCTGCTCAACGACCTTGAAGGGCCACGACTCGATATCCTTCTTGACGATGGGGTCGGAGAAAGGTCGACCAATCAATCGCCTATAGTAGATCAAATATTAGCATAGAGTCCCCAAGAAGATAATACAGCTTGCTCATCGTTGACCTACTTGACATCGAAGACGGTGTTCCGCGGGTTCATGGCGGCCTGGTTCTTGGCAGCCTCACCAATCAAACGCTCCTTCTCGTTGAAGGAGACGAATGACGGGGTAGTGAAGCTACCCTGCTCGTTGGCAATGATCTCGACATTGTTTCCCTCGTAGATGGCAACGCAAGAGTAGGTGGTACCTATGAAGCGAAAGCAGAGTTGCTGTCAGCCATGTTTTCGATGCTCCCAGGTATGTATCTGCGAAGACTGAAGCGTTGCGTAATGGGACAGGGACATGGACATGGACAAGCGACGAGGATGTGGGCGAGGGGGAGGGGGAGGGGAACAGTAGCATCGGTCTTGTCGCAAACAACGATCGATCATCAGAATTAAGACATACCCAAATCGATGCCAACGGCACCATCGTAGACTTCTTCGGCCATCTTTGCGTGTGATGAGGGGATATTAGGGAAGAGGAGAGCGAATGCCGAAGAACAGGAAATTATCAAGCGGACAGGAACTCTGCGAGCAACTTATTTGTGCAAATCTCGCCGGCTTTGTGGAGGCAGAAACCTAAGTAAGAGAAAAAAAATTCTGCCCCTCCCCCAAGCGGTGAGCGGTGAATGGTGAATTTAAAAAAAAAAAAAACCAAAAAATACCCCACCTTTAGCAAGCCTGGCCTCCAATCTTCTCGAGTCGCCCACTCGATAAGAGGCGATAACTGAATCAGGACACCACCCCAGGGTCTGCTCAGGGCGCATCTGGGTCCGTCAGAAGCCTTTAGCGTACTATACAAACAACTCGCATCACTACTCGCATACTACTCGCATACTACTCGCATACTATCTACTTGCATTGCACCCACAGTTCTGTCCACTAAAATTTTTATAGTTGAGCATACGCCAATGGGCATTGGGCATTGGACCTAATACCGACCTCTTAGCTACCTACCCATTAGTTAGACATGTACCTACCCGCTAACTAAATCCACTTTCATACAGGTACGCAATTCAAGGTTATGGATACGTTACTTTGCATTACCTGTCAGGCAACCATTATTCTGTATGATACGGAGTAGTTGTAAATGTAATGGAGACTAGCTGTAGCGTTATTGTGTGCAGTGGTCCAAGAGAGATAGGTACCTACCCGCAAGGTGGTATGGTAGTAGAAGAGGTCTAGCCCCCCACCTTTTGACTAGGTAGGCTTTGCCTTCCTATGTTTGATATACGATTCGACCATCTATGTGTTGAGTCTTCTAGTTCTTCGTAGTGCCAGTCAAAAGTATTTTGCACGTATAGAACCCTATGACACGGTGAAGAGAATATTCTAGCTAGAATAC